TTGCCCCTAGGTGTGAGTGTGTGTTTACATGGTTGTTTGTCTCTGTGTTGCCCTGCGACAGACTGGCGACCTGTCCAGGGTGGACCCTGCCTCTCACCCGGAACGTTAGCTGGAGAGGCACCAGCACCTCCTGACCCCACTGAGGGACAAGGGTGTAAAGAAGATGGATGGATGGACGGAGGACATCAATCACATAAAGGAGTGTGATTTGTATCTCTAAACTAGACACAGTAACTGCATTTAATTATATATTTAAATGTATTGATATTTACTGGTATTATAATTGAACAAACAGTGGAGAAAACAGTGAAAATAACAATCCTGACAGTTTTGAGAGATTTTAAACATCATTACCTGGAATTTATGGTGACAACAATAAATCAGAATTCTCATCATGAAAAAAATTATCACGATAAATGATAAACGATACAATGGCTCTTTTTATTTTTTAAGTTTTGGAGCCCTTGCTCTTACAACATATACCTCTATTAATTACACATTAGTTAACTCTGTTAACTAATTATGTAATTTCTGGATCAAATTAAAAGTGGCCACAATATTTTCTTATGTTTCTCGTTCACATGAAATGCATTTAAGTTTGTTGTTGTAATGTAAGAAAATGTAAAAAAAAAAAATCCAAAAGGTTTGAATACTGCAGTGACATACTTTATATTTGCATGGATCTGACAAAACAAGCACAAACTGAGTTTTTTTAAAATTATTTGGGTAAATTGAAGCTCAAATGGTTACGAAGCATACCTCATTTTTTAATACTGTGAATCGTGTCAAGGGTTTGGTGAAACCAGAAAGTCTGGGGGAATTTCTGGGTCCCTGCACAATCTGGAATTTGAGTTTAGTATATTCCAGATCTGGACAAGAATTAAAAAAATAATAATAATAGAGAAAAATAGTATGATGTATTGCTGCTTCCTTGTGTCCTACCTTCTTTCTTCATTTTTTAAAATCCATCCTTGGTTTGTTCCTTATTTGTTCTTTTAGTTCTTTGTTCCTGTTTTACCATATGTGGAAGAGTAAAAAAGAAATTAACACCATAATTCCCAGCCCCTCAATATTAAAAAATAGTTTTGATTAGTTTATTGAATTAAACAGCCCAGAAGGCAAAACCCATCTAGAGGTTTTCACAACTTGAAACTTGTCTTAAAAAATAATTAATATTGCCAGGTTCTGATTTTCCTTTTGATTAAACTTTTTTCTACTTTATTTATTCTTGAAGTGCAGCAGAAATGTATACACTACAAATGCAAAACATTTTCTGAGTTTGGTTTTATTTTTGGTTGGAAAATCATTTGACATCATCTCCCAGATTAATTTAAAAAATAATAAAAAATACATATCACACTTACAAGATGGATATTTTGCCCATATGTCACCATTTGTAGAAAAGTAAAAAAGAAATTGGCACCATAATTTCCAGTTGTTTTTTTTTAAATTACAGTTTCCATTCATTTTATTTTAGGTTTAGCGAATTGAACTGTCTGTGTTTTTATTCTTTTGCCTTTTAATTAAAGTTGTTTGTACATTACGTATCCCTTAATAAAGTGCACCAGTATTTTATACACTACAAATACAGAGTTTATTTTACAGCTTGATTTTATTTTTGGGTACAAAATCATCTGACATCGTCTCCCAGATTAATTTTTAGAAAATATCACAAAAGTGTATATTTGGCCCTTATCTGTAGAAAAGCAAAAAAAAAAAAAAAAAAAAAAAA